ACCCCAGAATTATCAACATGCTACTCTTTTCCTCTTCTCTGCTACCCGGAGGGAAGAGCACATCTGATTCTTTGAGTTTTCCCCATTAACATTTGCACCACGATTTCATGTCCAGAGCTAGCTAACTTTTCCCTTATCTTTCTTTCTTTTCTAGTCTAGTCTGGTATTTCATATATTTTTTTAAAAAGATTTACTTATTTATGCATACAGAACTGGGGTACAGGCCGGAGGTGGAGGGGTGGTGAGATAGACTTCACCAGAGGCACAGCAGGGAGCAGAACAGGCTGATCAACCAAGCACACTGCTGAGAGGAGCAGTGGGTGGGTCAAGAGAGGTCTGTCACACCATGTGGGTCACCTCCTGGGTGGGGATCAAACTCATGCTGAAGTGGCCAGGAAGGGCCATATTTCATATATTTTTAAATTAATTAATCTTTTTAAAAAATTTATTTATTCATACAGAATTGGGGCACAGACCAGAGATGCGGAGGGTGAGAGGATTCACCAGACATAGAGCAGGGAGCAGAACAGGCAGATCGACGTAGTACACTGCTGAGGGGAGCAGCGGGCGAGTCAGGAGAGGTCTGCCTTGCCATGTGGATCTCCTCCGGGGCAGGCAGGAATCGAAATTATGCGTAAGTGACTTTAACTTCTTAGTGCTGTGCTTTAACCCACTGCGCCACCAGGGAGGGCCAATTAATCTTTTTAATTTATATTTTTTACCTCATTGTGTAGTCCCCGTAAAATACCCACACCAGTCTACTCATGAACCATCACCAAAGCTCCATGTACTTACTCTTCTCCCCCCTGTTTTAATCCCTTTTCCTCCCCTTTCCTCACAGAATGTCTTTGATTTATGGCCGCTTGCTAATTTTGTTGTTTATTTTTTAATTATTACTGTTTTTTTCCTTATGCCTTTTTTTTGTTCCCCTAGATTCCTCCTGTAAGTGAAACCATTCGATATTTTTCTTTTTCTTTCTGGCTTATTTCGCTGAGCATGAGCCTTTCTAGTTCCATCCATGTTGCTGAAATGGCATGAGTTTATCATCTTTTTGATTGCTGAATAGTATCCCACGGTATATATATATACAACATCTTCCTGATTCAGTCATTTATTTTTGGTATCCTTATGTTGAATGCAACACTACAGCAATAAAATATGGAAAAACCCAAGTGCTTAATGATGAATGAACAGACAATGAAGATGTAATATATGTTACATACATATATATATATGTATATATAAACTATATGTGTACACACATAAATACACATACACAGAATGGTACTAAGTCAAAATGCGGTGCTTTAACTCGTTGAGCCACCAGGGAGAGCCCTGAATACTATTAAGTCATAAATAAGAAATCTTCCCATTTGCAACATGGATAGACACTGACTAAATAAGTCAGAAGGAGAAATCCAAGAATTATGTCATATTACTTATCTGTGGAATATAAGGGAAAAAAGGCAAATGAACAAAATTTAAACAAGCTCTTAACTTCTGAGAACAGAGCAGCAGTAGCCAGAGGGGAAGTGGTAGGAGCGTGGGGCTGTGGTGAGGGTATGCTGTCGGTCGGTGGCGGTAGGTGACTGGAGGGTTGGTCGTGTGTGCGGTGTTAACAGATGCAGCTGCTGAGATGACAGCTGTAAACCTGAAGCCTCTACAGGCTGCACACTAACATTAGCACAATTAAAGAATAAAATAAAAAATCTTCTGGTTTGAGTCCAGCAAATACAACTATGACTCTTTAAATGATATGATGCTTGTAATAATCACAACATATTCAATTGTATGTTATCTGCTAAAGTTTGTCACTATTTTTCCGTGGCTTACTTTTGAAAAGAAACAACGGAAGAAGAAATGAATTTATGCTGCATAGCAAAGTTCTTTAGGAAAGAGACAATCCGAAGACCACAAAGGATTTCTTAAGTTCTAAATGACTCTTATATAAAAATGTTCATTATATAAATGCTGAAGGGGAGGGACCCACTACAGGAAGTTAGAGAAATCATCTCAAAGTCACATTTTCTTTTGTCATTACGAATACTAATGCTGATTATAAAGCTAAATCTGCCTCTGGGATTACATGGTTTTGTATTACAAATCTCATCATAAATGTCATAATATTTTCTGCAGTACATCAGTAAACAAACAAAATAAGCAGTAAAAATGAGGGTGAATTAATTAATTTGCCATTGTTTATATCAGAAAACACGGAAGGTTACATGGAAATAGGGATTACTCCTCAGTTGAGAGTAGCTAACTCTTTAAATAGAAAATATATTTTTTTCTAGTAATGAGAGACAATAAACACCCACATAACTAATAGTTTAATATGGCTGCTTTCAATACCTTAATACTATATTCAAAATTTTCATGCAATCATTTATGAAATCCCTTATCAAGTAAACAGACAGGAAAAGGTACTCCTCTGTTGTGTACCTATGGGATACTCCCAAGTTCACATGTTGGGCCTGACCCAGAAATATGTTTGAACTCACAATATAAGCCATAGAAAATGTGAACAGACCAACATTGCATTTGGTTTTGATTAAAATTACAGGTACAAGTTTTTTCATTTAGATATTAAAAACAATATTCTGAGTGCTTATACAACATTCCTTTTATAGCAAATGCTCATTAACAATAATCTCACATCACTGCAGAAGGTGCTTTATCACGCAATAGCGAGGTGCTATTTTTAAGTGATGTGGCACATTATTACATTACTTCAAGTGATTAAACAGTGAGGTTGAGGCACAAGCTGAAGCCTCACCTTTGACTATTTAACACACTTCAATTATCTGTAGCACCTCTGCAGATTTAACGCCCTTGCTGTCCCTTCGTGACAGCTCCAGGGTACCAATGGAAAGGGGCTCCTCTGCGTGTTACCTATTATCTACCTGCTTAGACGGACCACCTGCACCTTCACCCCAGTGAAAGCACTCATGCTGGATTTACTTATGGGCAATCTCCATTCCCATGGGCTTTCAAGGATAATCGACTGGGAATACCTAGTACTATATTTAAAGATCATTGCAAATTTCCCATAAAATGAAGATGTTGGCCAAATCTTCATTTTAGATATTTTAGATATGACGATTTGGCCAAATTGAAGATACTCTCAGACAGCATAACAATTAAGTTGCAAAGGCATGCTGGATTTCTTAATAAGGATGATGGGGCTGATAATCAGTGGTCTTATAAATAGTCTAAAATGTGTATGTGCATGTCTTCTTCACTTATATCTGTAACTTACAAAACCGATATGGTACATACCCACACATTTCATTTAATAGTATATTAATAGTATATTAATGCTTGCTCCCAGGGAGACACACTCAGTCTTCTGTTGTCTGAACCGTGATAGGCTTCAGCCATCTTATCACTGCTACTGGCAGAAATTATTTTCAGTCTATTTTTGTAACTTCAGTCTTTAAATTGGCAATCAGGGCAAATTTTGGATAGAAACTTATTACTTGCAATACAGGTATCTACTATTGCTTAATCTGTAATTAAAGTTTAAATGCAAACTATCATGAAATACCAGATTAGTATTTTCTAATGTATTTAAAAAAACGAACATGTCTCTGGGCAGATTAAATTATAAAAGCTATAAATTCTCAAGAAATGCTAGAAAAAAAATGAAGAATTCAGAAGATGTTATATCACTACCACATGGCAATCTAAATAATTTCCTTTTCTTAAATAGTTTAATGTAAGATTAAGTGGAAGTGACATATAAGGGCGTTTTACCTTGTGAATTATCAACAGGTTTTAATTGCTAAATGTCAAATTCTATCATGTTAAAGGTAATCCAAGTATTCTTTAAGTAAACTGGAGTAGTCCCAGCCCAAGGCAAACTAGCAGAGTTTGCAGTCAGGGAGCGGCCTCTGCCCCAGAGCCCCACCCATACTCAGCTCCAGGCAGACCAGAGGGCAAAGGCAAAACAGGATCTCCAACCACTGCTCTCTAAAACAGGGGTCTTCCAGATAGTCAGAAGTTGACTGAAAAAGTAAGTTTCCAGTCTGTATTCACTACTAGTCCTTCAAAGGTCTCAACAAACCAACAACAAATTACCTACATGCTTTAATGAAAACCTTCAGAAAAAGTAAGGGGAAATGTGACAGTCAATTCTGACAGTTTACTCATGTGTGAGCTTACTCATGTAGATGCCTGTGAATTATATCTGAAAATATAAAAATATACTTTTCAAAAACACAGAAAAAAATTAGATTCCTAAGTACCTGGTGAACCCAGATTGATAAAAGGGATTCTCTGCACTTGCTGGAAAGTCAACAAAAGTCAATAAATGTGATGTATCAGCAAATACAAAAAAGCAAACAAGTTGAAGTTCTCCTGAAAAGTATCTTGTTGTCATGAATTCTCTTTAGGATATTTCAATTTAATTTTAGGGAAATTATAATGGAGATATTTGATTCCAAGATTCCCAGTAGTTTTTCTTCAGAATGCTTGATTAGATAATAAGAGTCCTAACACACACAGAGCTCAAGGATAAAGTTTAGATGGAGACGTTTCCAGAAAGCAGAGGAGTGTTTGCATTCTCAGGTGATTATTGTTTGCTGACTTAAGAAATACAAGAAAGGAGGAACCTCAGTAACAGTGTAGGAGCTAACTGCCTAAGGAGGAGAATCCCACCAAGACTGTTGCTCTCCATCCCATTTAAATTAAATCTTTCCATCTTTAAACACATTTAATGAACCAATATTTAAATGAAACTTTTAAAGTTCACATCTTTAGCTTCTAGAAGGATAAAGGGATTACGTTGATTGTACTTTGAAAATAGCTGGAGAGCAAATCCAATCTGCATGAGAACTCTTTACATAATGAACAAATACTCTATATAAGAAAATCTTTAAGAACAAGATTTCCAGTTGGAGCCCCTCCCCACCCCAAGGGATAATAATCACTACACACATTCAGTCCCTATATCAGTGATATGTGCAATCAATTCCATGGCTATAATTTTATTTACTCACCCTCCTAATAGTATCTGTGGCTGGCTGGATTCATTTGTGATGCCAAAGACATCAGGAATTAAATCACCATTGAAGCTAGAGAGAAAACATTAAGCAGTCATTTTATTAAATTCCCACTTGTAATTCAGCTTTGAAAGAAAACAACCTTTGTAAGGTGTGATATACATTACAATGCTCACCACCTGTTGCAGTCAGTGAACTGTCAGTAGAAATGGCATGTGTCACTTCAAGTCAAAGTGTTTAACCTTTCTTACTGGGTGCTCTAAGTCTCGCTAAGTTGGTCACGGCAATGAAAAGAACACGTGTCTCCAAAAGTCCAGCTATCCCACAGGTGACAGGCTCTCTAATAACCCGACGGAGTGATGCTACAGAGCAGAGCCTATCACTGACCCACAGATGTCTGTGCGAGCAAGAGATAAACATCTGCTGTAAGGTTTAGGAGCTGTCTATGACCAGGTACGCCCCTGAGGCCTGAGCAGGCTGCACTTATTTCAGAGCCAATTTGTGAGGTGGGCTCAGGGGAAATAATCTTTAGAAGTAACCTCTTCTTATACACACATTTACACTGGCTATTGAATACTGTAGCAACAATGAAACAATATGTAATAGTAAAAGAATTGACTCTAAAAATTAATCCATGGAATTAGAGCTCAGACTTCTAGCGGCCACTGGCCTATTGATAAGACTGGCTTTAAGGACTGCACAAAGGCAGCACTGGAAAGAAGAATATGGTAGCGTACTGACTCTGTGGCCAAAATGACCTCTACTCATTACCAAGAAATCCATATTACAGAAATTTGGATTAAGTTTATCCTTGTACATTAGTCTGTTATGTGGTAATAAATTATAACACCAAGGAAAAGCTGTAAAAAAGAATAAAAGTGTCTCCTTCACATAGAAATCTTTCTAAATCTTTGGCGGGAACCCTACATCCTTCATATTGGCCAACCAAGCATTAATACCTTGGTCTCAAAACAGTAATCTTAATTCTTTGAGAAATGACATGACAAGCTTTAATATAGTTAAAAATAGGACTATTCAAACATTACCACAACCCTTCCTCTTTCCAAAATACTGAATTTTCCTCTATCATGGCAAATAAATACCATGTAGTTAAGAGGACAGGCCTCTGACACCTATAAAGGAAGAATGAATTTAATGTCAACTCTTATTAAAGTAGCTTCTTTTGTGAAAAATTTTACTTTCTTTTTGTAAGTATAACATAACCAAAGGGAAGCAAGCACATACTTACTCCATAATTAGTGGTTCATCTTGAAAAGTCCTATTGAGTATGGTCATATTATTAGGATCTATAAAGAAAGTAGACATTTTATACCATTGTTGATCATTACACTGAGGGAAACATTTTTAAAATTCTTTTCAAATTCATCTCTAATTTCAACTACTACTATAATGATACATCCTAAATTTAAGTCAGACACCAAGTTAATAAATAGGTAAAATATAGCAAAATGCTTCACTGAAGACCAGCACTTTCTTTTGTGGTTTCAATTTGAAAATCTCCTAAGTGGATCTTTTTTAAAGTTGGGACTAGAGAGGTTGATAGTGCTTTTCACATGTTCTCCTCTACATCCTCATCGACTGAATGAATTTGAAGGACTGAGATCACTGTCTATATTCCCAAATGCTAAAAGAAAACATAACTACATCCTTCTACCCCATCTTAAAAGACGAATCCCTGAGCAAGGATTAACTGGATTCTCAGGTAGCTGGCTTGCTAATATTTTTGGGCCTTCCTGTAAGGGGCAACTAGAAACCACACAACAGCATTCTCATCACACAACAGCCTTGCATCTGTGATCTGAAAAAAATGGAAGCTTTGTCTATCACCCACACTGTGAGTGTTGGAAGGCAGAGAAGTGAGATGAAGGCTATGCTTCTGCTATCTCTTAGATTCCGATCACTACATGTATAACTATCAAGTGGTGAGGTGCCAGAAAGGACGTCCATCATGCTGGTGCCAATCTTGGCAGGCAGTGCCACTCTAGTAAGTTATTACACACCTTATCATTTAAAAAAATTTTCTGTGTAGAAGAACCGGAGTGCAGGCCAGAGATGTGGGAATGGGTGGGGGTTGAGAGAATTCACCAGAGACAGTAGGGAGAAAAGCAGGTAGATTTATTGAAATATACTGCTAAAGGAACCGGTGGGTGAGACAGGAGAGGTCTGCTGCACCATGTGGGTCACTCCCTGGCCAGGACTCAACTCAGGCCACAGTGGTGGATAGTGCTGAGACCTAAACCCTAGGCCACGAGGGAGGTGCCTGACCACTTATGATAGTAAAAGGGCAGCAGCTTCTCTGAAAGCTTACTGGGGACTATTTCCAAAGGTTCAATTTAGAGTTTGTTCTTCTATAATCTCAGTATTCTCTAAGCTATAAAAACCCCTTACTACAAATGCCTCTCTTCCTTAATGGAGCAAGAGGGAATTTTATTCTCTGGAATTGACCTCAAATAAATTCTGAGTTGAAAGATAAAAATCAGAAACCGTGATTTTTAAGAGGTTTTTACAGATAATTACTGGCATTCAAGAACTGCATTTTCAAAATGGTTTTATAACAGTACTTTTGTTATATTTGCCAGGCTTATTTTTCTTTTAATATTCAATGAAAAATACTAAAAAAAACTCTTAAAACAAATTCACCTAATGTTTGATTCTGTCCCCAGAAGATAACAGCTCCCAGTTCACTGCTGGCGTGATTTTTGGGAAAATAAGTGAGAAGCACATCCATCTGTGAATCTCCATCATAATCTCCTGGGACCACACTTGTTATCAATGAACTGTGATTCCTAAAAGAAAAACATTTCAAGACATCGAGCTGCACCTTTATATATTTGTATCATACAAAAAGATTTTCTGTGCAAAATATAAGGTTTCACAGAACTGATTAATTTCATTTTCTCTCTTAACATCTTATCATCCTTCATGTGTTTAGATCTTCTTTGGTGTACAACAGAAGTCAGGATGAAGAGAGATAAATTTTAAGAAACAAAATAAATCTAAAATATAACAAGGGAAAAGTCATTTTTACATTTAAGCACATTTGGTTCTTTTGTCAAGGATGCAGAAATATTTGGATTATGTTTATAACAAAGAAAACTGTTTTAATCAACTGCCAAGCAGCAAGGAGTACTATTGTCATCAGCTAAAACATTTTACTCATAAAATATTTAATTTCGGATTCTAATGCTGACGCAAAATTTACAATGAAACTAAGCAATCATTTTATTTCCAAGACATCACAATGGCAAGCAAGTTTTCATAAAACCTTGCCAAAAAACAAAAAGCTACCAAAACATACTTCCCTAATTTTATATTCTTAGTAATAATTATAAAATTATATATCTTAACCATAGGAAATCAAAAAGTACTGTGTAGTTTTGGTGTAATGTCTAAGTGAACAAACCAAAAGTAGACCTTAAGTTCAATTTATATTTAATTTTACTTAGAGTAAATAGCAAAATAAGCTTGTTTCTAAGTAGATTATGGATAATCATTTTCTAAATGACATCAAAGACTCTAAATATATAGATACATAAATATTACTTAAAGTGAAAATGAGGAAAATCCTGAAAAGATTAAGCAAAGAAAAATAATAGTTTTTCTATAATGCATCAACTTATTACATCTCATTCAGATATTAAATTACCAAGTATTTAAAAGTTGTCTGATAATTTAAGTTCCATTACTTGACAAAAAAGGTTTTGTTATTCGCATTGAACATACAAGGAAGCTTGAGGCTTACTGTGAGTAAATTGCTTCCAGCATTAAACTGCTACTAAATGAAATAACTATAATTCAAACTCAGTATTGACCTGTAAAATTGATTTGCATTGAAAGAGAGGATTTTTGGTAATACCACTTTCCTCAAAGAATTCCAACAATACTTTAATCTTCCATGTAAAAAATATCTGTTCTTTAAAAAACAATATACTAATTGGACATCTATTTTGTAGTAACTGTACAAATATGTATACATGAATATGTATATATGTATATGCAAAAATGTATATATAGTGATACACAAGTATATGCGCGCACACACATATATAATACTAAATACTACACATATTTGTCCAAATACATTCACAATTGCCCACCCCCTCGTTGCTTCAGCAGCAATGCCAAAGGTCTGGTTTCAGGCGGGGCTTGTTTTATCGTTTGCTTCTGTTTTTATTTGTGGTGGGTGGATTATTGCAGTCTTAGAATATTTTTCTCTTGCTACCAACTGTCATATATAGCTTTCACTGGGTGATGGAGGATGAGTGTGAAGAGTAAAAAAACAGAAATAGAAAAAAAAAAACCATACAGAAAACCAACAACTACATTCATGATTTGGGGGCAAAATGTACTCTCAAATAGGAATCTATTACAAAGGGTTAGATGGTTTTACTCCTACAATCACCCAGATTATTGTAAAAATTACACATGCATTTATATCCTTTTTCACAGAACCCAATAAAATGATATGAGAATGGATCTGTTCTTTAAAAAGTGTAACTCTCAAACACACAGTGATCAGAAAGGAAAGCACAATTGAGGACACTAACTGGCTCAGAGGACAAGGAAACAGTAGAGAAAAGTGCTGGGGAGAAATGATCCAGAAGGAAAGTTTGTTGCACTGAAGAGCCTCAGAGGGGCTTTGAGTTTGGAGTCCTGGGAAGGAGTGAATGACATGAGAGAGGCACAAAGTTGGAAAGAGGTTTAACTGAAAGTCTGCCTGTGGTACATGGTTCCTTCTCTTCTTGCTCACAAGGCAGACAAACAAGCAAACAAACAAAAAACAAGCAAGCAGCTAATTTCTGGGAATTTTCAGGTATGAGAGACTTAAGTTATAGAAGACAATAAGGTTTTGCCCTTAGACTAAAAGTAGGGTCTAATGGAAAGTCTACGCAAGAGGGTAGTCAGACCCTTGCTCCCAGCTTTACCCCATTCCTAGGAAGCCAGGCAGGGGAGAACATACCCAGAGAGTTAGTAAACAAGTCCCACCATGCAGTCTTTAACTAGCTCCTTAACTATCTTACTTTTACATGTCAATAGATAAACTGTCCTTTTAAAGAAAACTAAGAATATTATAGAGAACCAAAATAAATAGAATAATTTATTATAGAACTAATAATAAATCTCAAAAGAACAGAGACAATAGAGGGAACAAAAGAAAACCTCAAAACTACACTTGAAGACATAAGAGAAGTATATGTCCATAAAAAACAAACAAGCCAACAAAACTAAAAACTAGCCTGTTAATAAAAGAACAAAAAGACAGCCTCTTTGAAATAATAATAAAAAAAAAACTAAAAAATATTAGAAGGACAGACCCAAGCAGTCCAATAAACAATTGACAGGAACTTCTAAACAGGAAAAAACTGCCAAAGAAGTATCCTGAGAACATTTCAAAATGTCTTCAAGAACAGAAATGACAAGTTTGAATGGGCCCACCTAGTGTCCAGCATATTAACTGAAAAATAATCTACACCAAGACACATTATCATGAAATTTCAGAGCAATAGCACTAAAGAAGGTACCCTAATACCTCCCAATGTCCAAAATAAGACAAGTCATATTTGAAGGACTAGAAGACAGAATAGTATTAGATGTTAAAATAGCTACTCATGAAGCAAGACAACTACAGGTGAACCAAATATTAACAAAGAACTAAGACAGATTTTGGATGTGGACAATTATAACACACATCCTTTCTCAGGAATTGCCCGAGGACATACTCCAGTGAAGGAAATGAAGAAGGGAAGAATATAATGGTAACAGGGCCCAGGAAATAAAGAAGGAACAAAGAGGAGCAGAGGTAAAGTCCACAAATGGTGACTCTGCAGCTGACCTAGAGAATGAATTCAGGTTGAGTGCAGACAGCTCCATGCTCCATGGGGAAACAGAAATGCACACCAGGTGAGTAGCAAAAATGAAAGGATTCCCTGAAAATAAATTAAGGGTGTGTGCCCCAAAACTATGTAATTTACTTTTTAAAAAGCACTAATTTACCCAAGGGAGAAACTATACAGAAACAAAATACTGTGTGCTTGTCTCTGAAGTCTATAGAATTGACAGGCAAAATGTAAACAATGTATTGATTCAGCTAAAAATATATATTTAGTTTATGGAGATACATTAAACATGTTAAATCCTTATCTAAGCTAATAAAAACAAAAATCCCAGAGACAAAGATAACTCAAGAAATTATAGGATAAAAAGTTATGTTAAACCATGTAAGTAAAAACCTGAAGAAACAGCTAAAAGTTTTCAAAGTGGCTATATAGGTGAGAGAAGGGAGTGAAAAATTTGCTTTCTATTTTGAAAAATATACTAAATAAGACAACAGTGTCTAAATTTTAAAAATATTTAAAACAACATATTAACCAAAGGGAAATAAACTGGGATTTTTCTTTTTAACTTTGTGAAATCCAAATACTTTACATCCCATAAGTTTCCTTAATGTTTAATCTTCCTAAAAAAACACTTGTGAGCAGTTCATTTCTTATATATATTTATCAGCTTCACTCCCTCCTTACATGTGCTGACATCCAGTATCCAGGAACACTTCTCAAGAGGGTTTAAGTTCCTGTTCATCCATTTTTAACTTTGCTCTCAGTGTTCTAACACAAAGCCAAAATTTAAAACATATGTGTGAGTATAAATTAAATATTGAGCACTTTTTCGCCCACATGAGGACTTAAAACTTTTTTTAAGCAGTTTCTTAAGTAGTCTCTGATTTTTTTCATACACCAAGTCCTGCATGGGATTAACAATAACTTAAAATAGTTATCATCTCCCCTTAAATCAGAACCTGTAAGGATTCTCCATTATTTTTTAAGGGGTTGAGTTCAAATTCTTCCTGATACTAATGAACATTCCTGTCACCTTCCTGGACTGTAACTCTCCAAAGAGCATACTTCCTTCACTCAGGCAAATCTTTCTGCCCACTCTTCACAACATGCTGTTTTTTATACCACATCTTGTTAGGACTGTGTCCCTAAACTGGAAATACTTCACTTAAATTTTATTTAAGGTAAAGCTCAAGTGCCATGATTTTCTAGATGTTGCCACTGTCAACCAGATAGAAGCAATCCTTGCTTCTTGCAGCTTCAAAACTGTGGGCTTACTAATGATGGGGTCACTGTGTCTTATACAATGCCAGTCATTTAAAAAACAAAACAAAACAAAACAAACCAACTGTTACTTCAACACTTAAAAACATCAGCTTGATTGGAATTCCTTCCAAAAAATCAATTTTAAAAACTCACCATCACCAGTCAACAAACAAAAATTAGACCAGAGGTCACTGACCTTTTCCCTCCTGTAAGCTACATACCTCCCACAAAATGAGACTGTGAGCAAGCTGCTCCCACAGCACACTGGGATAAGTGATCATCCCAATGTATTTGGAAAGCTTGTTAGATTGTAAGGGGTGAAGGGTGTTTATGCAGGAACAGACCAGCTCCAACTCAGATTTATAACACTGTTTTTAAAGTAAATAATTTTTTACTACTTTTCTTAATTACTTGCCACTTCCTGGCTAATGGGTTTGGGGCACAAGACCATATAGTCAAATAAATGATTTCAAAAATAATCCCACTTCATATCACATATCCTTTATAATAGCAATAACTAATGTTCTACAGAAACAAATACATTTATACTTACTTCAAAGACACCTTTACTTTGGGTTTAAAATAGGGCACGTTCTGGTCTGCCAAAAAGACGATTAAGTCATTTCCTAAAAAAGGTGAACATATGGAAATTAGAAAAATGTTTCCTACAAGACATCTGAAGAGTCTTTCTAGGCACTGTTCTCAAGAAGGTAACTTATATTTTACTCCATTTCATCTGCCCTCTTAAGGCTACCACTTATAATGGAATGGGACACCTAACAGTATATCACAAATTTAATGTTCAAAGAAGCGGAAACCCAGGAAGGATGTACACGGAAAAATGCAGCTGGTCAAGATAAAATGAAGCCAATAGCTTCTGTCAGGTGTCGGATCAGCTGAGTTAGAAAATCATGGAAAGAATCTAACTCACATGTCAAACCTTATCTTCCCCAAACTAAAAAATGCAGCGCCTTATAGGTTATTTCATCCCATAGCTTCACCATAGCAGAGACATAAGGACGCCTTCTGGAGGTATCTGCCTAGTAGCAAGGACATGGTCATGTAAGCAGAAAAAGCCAAATCCTCCAAGACCCTCTCTTGTGATTCCCATGGAATAATCTCACCCAGGTTATAAGAGTCATTCTCTGAGCTCAATGAGTGCTCACGGGGAGCCTTGGAATGAATTATGGACCAAACACAAGATAAAGTCCCTGTATGAGTTTGGATGAGCAGCTATAGGCATGGCGGTAGATGCCCTTCTTGGGATTCAAGAAATCATACAAACAGGAAAAATATCGATGGTTCACAAGCCTCTGGGATCCTGGCAAGAGTCCCATGGAACCTGGGCGGGATCCTGTCAGCCCAGCTTTCTAGAGAGCTTCCTTCCTCCATGGTCCTGACTCTAAACAGCACCTGGCTACTGGGCACTAGTGGGTACTGAAGAACACTAAGTTTCTCTATTGCTCACTGCCAGAATCAAGAGTTGCTGAAAAGTTTACTTCATGATGTTCGAGTGCAGAGCACTTTGACAACCATGTACTGGCAAAGCAAGCTCAGATGTGGAAGAATATGGTGGTGACAAAAGTGAGGAAAAGTCAGAAGTCAGTCGAGTCTGCTTAGCAGAGAGAAGAACCTGCAGTTCGAGAATCGTTTCCTAAGGAGACACTGGGTCTATCAGTGGTTCCATTTGGGGAGTGTTTAGAGCCTGGGGAGGGCACAGTAGCTTCCCAGAAAGCTGGGACCTCCACACAGGGGAGTGGGGAGGAGTTGAATTAGGTAAATGAGAATGCAGGGAGATGAAACTGTCAAGAGGCACCTTTTCCAGTTCAAAGGGGGAGCACGTCTGGAGGAAGTAAAGCTGAGTGGAAGGGAGGGGAGGGCTTTGGGAGAGAAGGTGGAGGCAAGCCACAGAGACTCCTGGGGATCAGGAAGGACTTTGCAGGCAGGTTATTCCAGGGGTGCGTGGGTGAGGACCGCGGCTTCGAAGGTGGGGGGCAAAAAGACTAATAAACACTGGGTGTTTCCAGGGCTTGGGGGTTAAAGTGAGGTGATCTCAGTGGGGTGGTCAGGCCAGGATGTGGGACCGGAAAAGATGGAGAACGGCAGCAAGCTGTCAAGGATGCTGGAGATCAGGGCGAGAGACGGGCCAGGGAGAAGGACCGGGAAGGGCGGGCGCACGGTCCGCCCGGCCAAGGGTGTGGGGACGCCGGGGGGGTGGGGGGGTGGCACAGGGACAGCGGACAGAGGGAGGGCCGGGCCAGCACTGACTTTCCCGCAGCACGAAGAGGTCCGTCTGCTTGTCGGAGTTGAGGTCCCCGAAGGCCGCCAGAGTGCCCCAGGCCTCGGCCGCAAAGAGCTCGGCCGTGACGTTGTGCAGCGCCCGCGCCGGGGCCGGCCCG